TATCTTAGGTTATTTTCCATCCTGAATTCTTATCCACCATTAGTCCACTTCTTCCCATTGACTACAGCGAGTTTGTACGTGGCTGCCATTTGGGGGTGTTTCCTTCTTATTATGAGCCTTGGGGTTACACTCCAGGTACAACAACCTATTTCTATTCTAACATTATAGGATCCATTTATGAATTATCAAATGTTACATACACATTTGCTTTTGGATAATTGTTAGGCTCAGGGTTTTAATTCCTACTTTTCATATTCTTGAAGTGTGATGCTCTGAATCGAGCACTTTATTTTAGGATGAACTCAAAAGTGATATGGAAACAGTCTTTGGCTTGATTTACCTGTCAAAAATATCGTTACTATTCAGTTCAAAGAAACTATGTTAGTAATTTTGAGATCTTTAGGATTTGAACTACGTAGGACTCGTGCATCTAAAAATCTTTCAAACATTTTCATTCGTGCCTTCAAATCACGAAATGCATTTGAAGTCAAGCGATTTCTCACATTGTTCCTTTATAAATCTCATGAGAGACGTAAATGGCTCGTCGCATCGTTAGATATCTTTGTTTGTTTTTGCATTTCCTTGTGTTTTGCCGATTATTTCTAAGTTGTTAATTGGATGTCGCATTTGGTTGACGATGGCACAATATTTTGACTTTCCTTTGCACAGCGGAGTGTACCGTGATGGGAATCCCCTCCGTGTCCACTAATCTGTCAGGATTTGGTCGGTTCATGGCAGAACACGTGACTGATCCTACATCCTACGGCATTTATCTTGTGGACAGGAGATTCAAGTCAGCTGAAGAGTCAATTGATGAACTCACGCAGGTTAGTCAGTCTGATTTGCGTTACTCGGCTTAACTACAGAACACCCTGTCATATTGAGCACCATCTGTGTTGCTAGCTTGCCTCAGGTAAAAACTGCCCACAACCCTGCCAACCCCTAAAATTCCTTTTGAGTCCTTCTAACCCCAATCCACCGCGTAATCTCAACTGAAAATTCTGCTATAATTAAATGAAACCTTGCATTTGACAGAGCAGCCCCCTCTATTTTCCACTAATGCAATGGTGTGCACGGGATTTTTTTGCTTGTTATGAGAGCGCATACAGTGCATTCAGTCGTGAGAGAAAAAAAAATACAACCAGGGTAATCTTTCAGCACTCTATCCGTAGAGATGGCCTGTTGTCTATTGTTTTGTTTCCGCTGCGTTTTGTGAATCTTAACACACCATAATCTGTGATGCAAAATGCATGGATGTTATAAGGGGATGGCAAGTTATTATTGTAAAGCTATTAAAAATCGAGTGTCGCAAAACGAAAACCAAGAAGTACAAAACTGAGGCGCAAGAAAACTTGAATTTTCGCAAACAATCAAAAAGTGAAGATAAGCTAACTGAAACCAGTGCAAGCCCGGATTACTTCCCAAATTCAATTAAACAATCCCCTGGTCCGGATCATTCTGTTGCGTTCAAGGTCACGAAACTCTCCTCTCACAGTGTCTCTCTACCACATGTAGTATGAACAAATTTTTACAAGCAAATTGTTAGGAAAACTGACGATATGTAGGGGGTAGCCTTCAATAGACCAGCAGTCACCTCATGCAACAGAATTCGGAGTAAGTTCTTTTTTGCTGTGCGAGTCATATTCAGACTAAACTTTCTAACTGATTCTATGGTTTACGCTCTCTGTTTCAGTACATGATGAGCTTTTGCAAACTGACAAGAAGACAGCGAATCATTCAGAGGAACAGGACCGAGCGTCTTAGTGAATTATTGGATTGGAGGAGTCTTCACCGGGTGAGATCCCTTTCACTTTCCGGAGAAAACTAAAAACTGATTGCTTTGTTACAATCAGTGCTCGTGAAAACTTAACCTGCGAGCAGCACGAGTGTTTTTTCTCCACGATTATGTTTAAGGCGAACCTGCGAGGCTCGCCTTGTTCAAGGCTTCAAACTTTCTCTAGGGCAAGGAAACGCACATGTTGCAGCACTTTCAATGAGGCAGAAAAAACCTTGCGTTGCCGACCAACTGTTCAGCGGAATGCTGCATATGACCCATTGGTCGAAAAGTCTGAGTTCCAGCCTTGCTTGTCTTTTCAGACCGTGCACTTCGCTATGACTGACCATCTCTCCATCCAGAAGTGTAACTAGATACCAGCACTCCGCTAGGGAACTTTATTCCTTGTGGTGTCCTGCGAAGGATTCTCTTCCAGGAGGAGTGATAATACTTATGGTGGCTTTGTGTTACAGAATTAGGAATAAGCTCCGGCAGCAAACCTGTGTACTGTGAAGTGAAAACTGATCTAAAACTCCTGTTTCTTGTTTCAGTATTACACCCGAGCACGGTTACTTGCCTTGCATCATCTTCAACCGGACAAATACGAGAAGCCGAACATGACCGAGGAAGCGGTGAGCTCCCAGTGATGTTGGTTAATGGGTAATTAATGCTGTCCTCTTTTCAAGCTTGTATACTTGTTTACTGAGGTAGAGTGACGCTAGAAGGAAGTGTTGCAGAATACATGTCTCACATGCAAAAAAGAAAATTCGCCGCATTTTACATATTTATGAGTATCCTGTTCCGCAAGAGAAAGATGATTTAAGAATAGATTGTCAAATTGACTTTCAACCAATAATTAAATGACAGAAAGTAATATTGTAGAATCTTTTTTTGTAGTTGTCCCCTATACGCCGCGTCCCATTTAACTTAAAATAAAATTTTCGAAATTTTCAAGACTTCGTGGTCATATGATAAAATGCTTATTGACTGAGTGAGAGAGCCGGACGGGAAAATATTTGGTTCTCATTCACGACGCATGGACCTTGTTGTGCTCGGTCTGTACGTCATGAACTCGAGCCAAATACTCATAAATATGTGGGATGCGGCGGATTTTCTGTTTTGCATGTGAGACAACTCTGCAACATCTTCTAGCGTCATTCTACGACCTGTAGTTCTTTCTGATTTCCGTACTTAACTGTCTTTTGAAACCAAAATATTATAAAACAGTTATCAAAGTCAGTGATCACAGCAGCTAGTCAGAACAAAATTAAATATCACATGGAGCTAATCTGCTGATGGGAATTTACAGTATCTATAACAAAGTGAAGGACTGAGCGACCTTAGGAGGGTGGTGTGAATATTAAAGAAAATACAAATATGGATAACTGTTCCAAATTACTTACAGCATTGAATTGAAAACTTCTAGAGCTACACGATCGGTTAACAATGGCATGTCATGACTTCGCCTCGCACGGGAGGTGTACAAAGATGATTTGTGTAGAGCTGACGGAAGCATTCCTCAAATGTTCCTGTATCCTGACAAAACACTAAATTAACATTTTGTATAACTTTTTCTGCACTATTTTCCGATATAGGACACTTTTGAACCCGTAATCGGTAGGTAACAAAGCTGGGCTTGATAACTGTTTAGTTTTTGACCGTTTGAACCTTTATTTTTTGTTGGCGAAGCAAAGCATTTTTGTACCATTCAAGTTGATTTGTGATTGATCACATGACTGTCAATTAATTTTTGGACATTAAACGTTTGATGCTATATTTCAGCAATCGAATTTCACTTATCCACGCCCAAGCTCGGAACCACCATCTCCAGTCGCTTCCGAATGTGGCTCGGACACTGGCGAAGATGAAGAAGACACAAAGCATCGACTCTTCAGTGATTAAACTGTTTCCCTACGGGAATGGTTTTCAGTATGAATAAGCAACCTCTCCTTCACATACTAAAATGGCGTGCACAAGTATTCCTGCAATAACTTAAAATCCAGACAAAATTTAAAACAAGGTCTCTACTACGCTTTAGTAATATTAGTGACTCGGTCTAATGCTAGTCATCGTGACTTCAGTCGATTTTTTGTAACGCATTCTCTCAACGATGAGTCACACTATCTCTTCAACATCGGCGTGACCAAAATTATTGGTTGAGCTGGGTACCGAGCCAATTTTTCATTATTTCACTCCATTGTATGAATAACGCTAATCTTTGAAATGCGTTCTTTGAAGAATATTATGTGACATTTATAGAGTGTTTTAAGTTAAGTTATAGTGAACTGAAAACCGAATTGATGCCAGTTGACCTGCAATTCAAGTAGGGAACATATTTAAGAAGAAGAGGGGTGGTGACGGTGGGTCTTCTTTCAAAGTGAAAATTCGTGGAAACAACAATAGAATTTATGACTAGAATTCAATTGACATTGCTTTAATACATAAGTATATGGCGGTGAGTATTTCGTGTGAGGGTGATAAATGGTTAGTTTTAATATTAATCTGAGTTTTTATAGGGAAGGCAGTTTATTTATTTAAGCTGTTTAGCGTCAAGTTGTAATATGTAATTGAATCCTTTACTAAACATAAACATCTTTCCTTTTTTCTTTTGAATAACAACAAACTGAGAGAAATGATAATTACTCATTGAGATGATATTCTTGTATTACACATAGGATGCAATCAGCGAATTTAATAGAATATATCGTTTACAATTCGTGACACTTCTCCGTTTATTGTCATCTAAACTTTTTCTCATCTAAACTTTTCACTCTCTTTAGCAAAGCCTTCTGGGTTTGTTTATGTCTCCTTTTAGTTTTGTTTTGTTTCGTTTTTCGTTTTGAACTGTCGTGTTTGTTGTTGTGTTTGTTCGTTTTGTTTTGTTTCGAATTGTTGTGTTGTTGTGTTTGTCTCTTTTGTTTTTGTTTTCGTTTGTTTTTGTTTTACTTTTCATTACTCAATTTAACTCTCCAACGTACGAATTGCTTCGTTTTCTTTAGTGAATTGGTTATAACCCTTTTTGTGAGTTCTCTGCACTGTTTGGCATATATTTCCTGCAGGTTAAGCTCGGAAAATTTGCGTTAGTTCCAAAAATGCTATCTTTTGGATATTTTCCTGACATCTCATGGTCACCTTTCTGAAAGAAAACGTGTTAATGTTGTGACAATAAATTGCTGGACACAGCTGATACGAAATGGTTTAGTGTGGGGAATGAATTATCGATAAGAAACTTTCCAAACCTTTAAAAAAAGAAAAGGTAGATTAATACAAATCGACAACATTTTTGCATTTTTTAAGTGACAAGTAGATTCGATTTTGTCTGTTAAAGTGTAGGTCGCAGTTGACGTCAGAATTTGGAAAGAACTAGATGTATTGGTGGTACTTACCAAAAGTGATCTATAACAGGACAGACACATGGCAAAACGGAATACTTGCTTGGGTTTATTCTTCTATGAGAAGGAGGATAATAATCAGGCTTGGTTCACTACCATTCCATTCCAAACATGTTCCTTCGGTGGCAGAAGATAATCTGGTCCTATCTGATCTTAATGTAAATTTCCACCGTAAATAGTTTCTAAAGCTGAAGTTTCGATTAACTCCTTGTCAGAGGCTCTCCGCCCTGACGAAGGGATAACGCTCAAGACGTCAGCTTTAGAAACTCTAAGGTGGCCAATTAACAATTGGTTCATACGTCAGCGTGCGTTCATCGAGATATGAAGCACGCGGGAAGTTTGGAGAGTACGAAAGATGCGTAAGAGTTGCTCGAGGCGTAGCCAGGAGCAACTCTAGCTTCTTGAGTGCTCTCTAAACTTCCCAAGTGCTTCATATCTCGATGAACGCACGCTGACGTATGAACCAATTGTTAATTGGCCACCTTAGAGTTTCTAAATATCTATTATCTATTATCAATCGATAATATGAAATTATCATAGTAGTATCATGGTAGCTTCACCGAAGCAGTACCACAGTTTCTGTAGAAACTGTAACCACAGTGATTCAGAAACTGTAATCTCTTGGTCAGTTTGGTGATAACGCGTATCCTTATGGAAGTCTTTCAAAAAAAAAACATAGATACTCTTCCTTCCGTTTTCGAGTGTTAGCCCTTCGTCAGAAGCTCTTCGCTCCGATCAGCTTTAGAAACTCTACGGTGGCCAATTCACATTATGAACTCGATTGATAAAACCAAATCATTAAGTGTTACTTTCCACCGACGCAGTGTCACAATTTCTTTAGAAACTACATTTAACGACAGTTTCTTTAGAAACCGTAAACCCTGTATCCCTTTGGCGGTACCACGTATTCTAATGGACGTCTTTTAAAGAAAAAAATCCATAGATACTCTTCCTCCTTTTCCTGGTCCAGTAACCCTCTCTCTTTTGAATTAGTTTTCAATGTATTAATATTATTTTTTACTCTTTTCCGACATTCTTTAAGCGGTAGTTCTTCGTTGGGTCTTTCATCAGCTTTTTCTGTTTTCGGTCGTTTCACATTTTTCACTTTGAGATATGATGTCAACGGGCTTTTAATTCAAATTCATAAAACCACTGGAAAAAGGATGATTGATCGTTCGAATAAAAAATATAAAATCAATTCTTACTTGTAGAGTTTTAACGTTTGATGTCTTGATTACTAAGGTAATGCATTAAAAAAAATTACGTGTATGTAGATGAAAGATTGCGGTTTTTGAATGATGCATGTTTAAGCTACGTTATGGGATGTACAGCACGGAACAATAAAAGCGAAAGAAATTATTTGGGTTTCAGTCTCATCTCATGTATAATTTACTTTGTTGGCTTCTGTATTCCTGCAAGCGTCGCTAAATTGTTGTTATAACTGGAACACATACAAACATGAAACACCATTGATGAAAAATAAATATTGTGCATATTAAGTCTACAACTGTATTTATCTATTTGGCTTCCGACGCCAAAATATTTATAAATTTGAAATGCGGTTACAGCCAAGTTTTTGAGGACGAAAACCATCAAAGATTTATAACTTTTATATGATTCACTACCTTGCAATAAACATGTGTTACGGCTAATAGCGCAAAATTTTCGGAAGATATGATCTTGAGTGTTATGGAAAGTGTGCATTTATTATTCATTCGAGGAAAAGTAATAATACGCAGGAAAAAAACATTTGTGAGGTTAAACGAGTTCGAACTTCAATTGAAAGTGGTCTTTCTCTCGACAATGGCAGCGTCTAGGAATTATCGCGAAGGAATCTAGCAGTCGCAATGAACATAAATATCACGAAGAAGCTACAAGTTCTTCATACTTTGTTCAGGTAAGCAAAGACATGTGCTCGTTATGTTATGTCTGTATCACCAGAATGAATGTTGACAGCTTTCATTTGAAACTAATTTCCTAAAGGAACATCGCCGATATATTTTCAAGGAAATTGTTCTCGACATATGAAATTATGGGTTTTTCGACCTGACCATGATTCATCATAATAATGTGTTCGTAGAAATTTCGATACTTTTACAGCCATAAATCTCAGAATTTAACAAATTCCTGTTTTCAAATATCGCTACATTTTTTCCAATCGAAAAAGAGAAATTGCTTTAAAATGTGGAAGCTTAGTGCTCCCACCCAACGCAAACATGATACGTGACAAACATATGACCCACAAACAGGAGTGTTGCGTGACACAACTTTTGAGTCCTTCAGCAATTTTTCAATGTGGGCCAGATGTTAATATTAACCAGGCTTTCCGTCAAGATATCTGATGGAAGACCCCAATTGTTTTGTATTCAGCTGTGTTCAGCAAATGTTCTCAAGGGTTCGTGAACAGCACCATCTAAAGCGAAAATCATTCTACCTGCAAGAAAAGTGGTAACAATGGCCACATCCTATCGAAACAACTCTATCCAAACTAATAAAAAATACTAACGCCAGATTTTTTAGCCCCACTATTACGCTAATGACCAATTTTTTAAATAAATTGATAAATTAAATGACAGAGACACGTCACTGTGAAGCCCAATCTCTCAGTTGCTTACGAATATGGATGACGAGAGAAGTGTTCTATTTCAATTTGCTAAGTAACCCATACACCCGTACAAACTATATATTAGGGAAGAGTGGCAAGGAGAGGAGGTAAAAAAAAAAATCTGAGTATTTTAGCATAAACGACGATCAAAGATGAACATTGCCATGGTGAAAATGGAAATTGTTGAAAATCGCTCTGAACAGAAAGACAGAGGTTCTTGTTCACATGGGGGCTGCACGCTTTGAGGTCTTTCGCTGGATGATCCCATAACTGTCGATAAATTGTTTACGCTTGCCAGAGTATTTTAGGATCCTTCAACAAGGCATGATTTCTGAGGCCCAATGAAAGTCGACGGAGACCGATGACTAAAACGTTTCACACTTGTCGCCGGTGGCAAGCGTTACGTCATCATCCAGTTCAGGAATGTGTTGCGCAAGCGCGCGTTACGACTTCGAATAACAATCATATGAAAAGCGATTAGAGAGATGGGGGAGAAATGCTTCCAATTTAATTCCCACACTGCGACATAATGTCTGGTTTGGTTAAGAACCAGATCGTCAAGCAACTCGCCAGGTATTAAAGTGCTATATTGATCCAACGAAGCTATATTTGACGCGGGCCGCGCACGTGAGTTTGTTAACGAGTTGTCCATTTTATTTCGCTTTAATTCTGTCAGGTTCACGAAGAATCTCTCCCCTAACAAAATTAGCGTCAAGTTTCTCAAGGGAGAAGGAGAACTTCATAACCTAGAGCTAGACGAGACAACACTAGCCGAGCTTCTTGAGTTGCCGCCATGGATTCGTCTCACGAAAGCGACGTGCAACAGAATATCCGCCAAGGTAAAAAGTTTCAGCCTAGCCATTGTTGTTACTTTTTTTTTAAAATTTACAATTATATAATGTATCTTTCCAGGTGTACTTCTCTCTCTCTCTTTGTGATAGAGTCTTGAATATGTGTGTTGGTGAATTTCGAAAAGATCGCATCTCGACGTAAATGCATGTATATTTTATATTGTATGACTTCAACGGGGATTTATGTTTGAGCTTAAGCTTGTAAGTGCTAATCAGGAGTGATTCTACATATTGTCGACGATGGATATTCGTGGCAGATGTGAAAGAGCTGTTCTTTCGTTTTGTTTTTTACACAAAGATGATGGATGTTCTTAGCCTATAGATTATGCCATTTGGCAGAGTACGGTTTTTTTTGCGAGTGATTATTACCTTTATTTTTGTTCACTCCTATCATTGGTCTGAGCTGAACGACTCCTTTTGATGGAAATAAATCCATTTTGAATGGGCCAAGACCAGCCTTGAAAATAATTATAGTAGAAAAAAAAATAAGGGGTCAATGATTTTGACAGTTTTCTACTTATTCAATTCTTGAAAACTGCAAAAGCCTTTCCCGTCATTGTCTTGAGATAGTGTCAACAAAAAAGTAATCATTGTAAATTCAATTCCTGGACCCTTGAGTTCAAAATTTTTTGTTTCAATGATTTGCATATAAACAGAATTTTAGCTTTTAGGCAATAGAAATGATATTTGATAAAAAGGCTACTCTTGAAAGAAAAATAATCTTTTTTTGCTGCATTTGTCAGACTTCTTCATATCTTGAGTGCAAAGTGAATTTCCTGTTTAGAAATATTTGTGAATTCCAAATGTTGTTATAGAGATATTCAAGAACTGGCAATGTTTCAAGAATATTCAAATTTTGAAAATCCTTTTACTCCAGGTTGAATGAAATGAGGCAATTAAGCAGTCAGCTATACAGAAGTGCTAATCAATCTGTCAGAGAAATTTAGTTACTGAGGATATAAATTTTAATCAAAGTGTTAGAAGCTATGCTAAGGGAGGGTACATCACATATGCCAAGTACCATAATATGTTTAATTTTGTCTGGTAAGTGATAAAAACGACAATGGAAACATGAAGTTTCACTCACTGTTGGCATTCTTAACAACATGTAAAGAACTGTTAGCCCTTCATAAAATAACCTTTTTTATTTGGATAAGAAAAATGGTCATGGGATAGTGAAAAATTAGTATCCTCAGGCAAGCTGTTGCATTTTTATGGCATTTGTGTTGTGGCTATTTGTATAACTCAGAAGGATTTTCTAGATCAAAATCTGCTCAGAGCTTTTTCCTAAAACAAGGTGCTCTGTGAAAAATTAAATGTATCTCTTTGATTCATAGATTCATTGGACTCGACTCAAGACTGACCCAATATGTCTGGTAAGCATGTGTCTCCAGCTTCATTTTCAGGAAGATTTTAGGAAGTATTTCAGTAACCATATGTACTTAAGTGGGCCCCCTTTCTATGATATACCTCCTGGCTAAAGCTTTAAGTTTCTGAGAAGCTCACTTTCTTTATTAAGGTTGGTTCCCTTATTTGAGATCTTTTGCAAAATTCTTTGTACAAGGTTATACCATTGTGTTCTGAATCATTTGGACAGAGTACCATTTCATAGACAATCTTCATTAATAGTGTTTGAAAGCCTTTGTTAGTTTCTGTTATTAAGATAATAGTTGGGTTTTCAAATGTAGAAATACTTATTATATACACTATGTACAGTAATGATCCAAAACAAAGAAATAATTCATTGTGGCCTAGTGAACTTTAAATACTAAGCCCCTTTTCTAGAAAACCTAGAACTTGATAGCCTCCTTCCCAGCTTATTAAATTGTTTTCTTACATGTACATGTGTTACTGGGTAACAGCCCTCTCTGGATTACAAGTTTGAATGAAGCTTGGGGAATTTTACAGCACAGTCAGACATTATTAAACCCCACTTCTTTGGATGATTTGATCTATTAAGAAACAACAATTAATAATTTAATAGACTTAAATTGGTTTAAACACTATTTTGTAATAATAAACCCCTTCTACACAATCAAGCAAATTCACAACTGTCGCTGAAGTGAGACACTTTGATTTGTAACATCAAAAAGTTGCATCTAGTAACAGTGCTGTATGAAATTAAGATGAATTTTTGTTATTCCCACTAAGAGAGGTTGGAACAAACAGAGGTTTTTGCATTTACATTTAGTAATTAAATTTTGTTTCAGAGTAAGCAGTCACATTTTTTGATCATGCAAGTGTACCTTAGCAATTTGAAAAGGTTAAATCTCTGATGAATTACTAAGGAATTCAGAATGAATTACTAAGGAAATAACTTTTTTTTAGTACCTAGATTCTGTTGAAGTGGATATGGAAGCTATGGATGGAGATGTTAACACCCCACCTCCTAGTTCCCCTCAGACACACCCACCCAATGCACCTCATCAGCCACCTATAAAGTAAGTTGGACTTCACAATCAAATAATGAACAATCAATCAATCAATGTTCAGATACATTCAATGTATGGAATCTATTTATACACTTGTTATTGACTAAAAATATCAATTTGAAACAACTAGAAATTTAATAAAGGTTAGTTAACACTTGAACCACTGCACGTGACTGGCTTCTAATTTCTCCTTACAGTAGCACCCTTGAATCAAATATGAAGGCCATGAGAATAGCAGAAATGATCGCCATTTTAAGATGCTTGTGATCATCAGACAAATTCTTCTTGTCAGCATCATGGGAAATGTAAGATAACAGTGTGGAGAATATGAATGCATATGTTAAGGTGAAAGGGTTAAAATGATCTACTCTGCTGCTACATTTTGTTTGATCAATGATTTATGTCTTGGATATTTCTTCTTATTTTTAACAGAGAGAAAGCTCCAAATAGGTATGGTTTTGTTGAGAAAGTGGTTGATGGAATGTTTGTTCAGATAAACTCTGTTGTCATCTCATTCAAGTTTCAAGCTTTTCTTGCCAAATTCCAGATGTCACGTCTTGTTGTCCGAAGCACAACACCCAAGTGGCAGCCTGATGATCTGCGCTTGACACGGGTGAAAGATGAAACTCGAGGAGAGGTGTTGACATTTAAAGAAATAACATGGCAAACACTTAGGATAGATGCTAATGCTTTGTACAATGTAAGAAATGTAAATACAATTTACATGTACAGTTAACTTAGAGTTGTTTCAACAAAGAAAACAGTGGAACTAATTTAGAAACATTGTGACTTGATATACTTGATTAGGGGCATGAAGTTGATGCTTAAGGTGACTTTTGATGCAATATTTTCTCTTCTCCTTTTTTTTGACAAGGGAATATTACATGTTTTGGTAGTAGAATCTAGAAATTTATCAGAAGTCTCATTTAGGCCATTTTCATGCACCCTTCAGTGTTACTTGCCCTTTTAATTCTCGGAAGTGATTAACATGTAACTTCTGGCCCACAATATTTATACATTGTCCAGCCAACATGTATAAAAAATACTTGTACATATCAGGTAAAAGTTTTTATTTTGATCTAAAATTAAATTCTCATAATTAATTTACTATGAATTGTAGCAGCTTTAGGGGAGAATTAGCAATTAGATCTTGGAGTTAAAGGGTTTTATAAAAGTAAAAGTGATGAGAAGTGGGGTGTATAACTGTAGCTTATTTCAGAATGGTGTGGATTGTCCCTATTTGTTATTAAAACCAGAGTTTTATGGCTTCCTGTTTGTAAGTGAGCTGGGTTTGTCAAATTGTTTTTCGTTTAGAGGCTATATTTTTTGCTGGTTTTGCTATGCTACTGAATAATGAACCTTTCTCATTCCTTGTTTTTATTCAGGAAACTTTGCAGCAGCAGTCAAATCCTTTGAGACTTATTACAAGTCAATCATCTCTACACCTAACAATCAAAAAACGTCTTGACGACTGTGCAGTGTTGTCTGCAAGGCTGGAGCTTCTTTTGGATGACATTCTATGGGTTCTTACTCAGTCACAGTTACAGGCTTTATCTGGTCTCTTACACTCTGTTAACCAGGCCATGTCGCATTCAAAAGTTAAGAAAGAACCTGGAACAAATTCAACACAACACTCAGGCCAGGCTAGTCAGCAACAGACACATTACACTGGTTCTACAATTCATGAACAAAAGTCAGACTTTGAGTCTTTGAATGCACTGTTTACACGGCATGATGTGCGGGAAACATCTTACCTCTTAAGGACTGGTAGCATTGACCTGCATTTGTGTGATGATTCAGAAGACAGGGGTGCTGATGGTGGGGCAATGCATTTTAAGATGAATAAGTTATCTGTTGACTACTTTCCGTACCATTTGGCTGGAACATCTCGTAATGACTGGCCATCTCACAATGAGGCATCTTTGACTCGAGCTTATTGGGTTAATGACCTTTTGAGTGCTTTTAGGAACTCTCAAAGGAACAAACAACTGTCACCTCAAAAAGCAACACAAAGCCATCATCGAGCAAGGAGTGATGTAAGTAATTATAGTTGACTTCAATTTTATGTTGCGATCATTTTTATTTTAGATGTAGAAATGTATAAATGTATGCAAAATATAATTTCTATTACTCTTGAAATAGGTTTGGTGTATTATCAAATGACTTTAACTGTGATATTTTAGGCTATAGTAAGAGTTACTGCAGGTGGTAAATATTTACTCAGGCTTTCCAATGGAAACCCCCGAGTTGAAATTCTGGCTTTGTTTTTTTTTTTGTTTGGTTGCAAATCACAGTCAAGTTCTTATTACACATGCATAACCTTTTGACTCCAATGCATATCTGAAAGCTACACCAATTTCTAATGAACAGTAAGGTGTATTGCTGTTGCAACCTATTGTATTAGTAATATGGGGTTCAAAATATTTGATTCTCATGCTAAAGATTTGTATGGTAGAGGGCAGCCTCAAGGTACATGTATTCTTCTCAAAGTACCGCACTGCATGTAAACAGAATGAAGACACTTAGATAATTTTCATATGCGAATGAAAATTTGCAATTACTGTAGTTAGTAGGCTCTGAATTTTTTGTTCATTATCAACTGCTACAAACTAAATAGTCATTTTTCATTCAAGGGCAAATGAAAATAGTGGTTTTGATTAGAGTGATTTCAATAAGCCTGGGTACTGCTGATGAATTTCATTAATGTTATTAGATGCTAAATGCTTCATGACCTTTTGTTTCTTTACATCTTCTAGAAAGATAATCATTTGCCCATGAAATAAAGAAATGACTATTTAGTTTATAGTTGTAGTGATAATGAACAAAAGAAAACAAAAAATTCACAGTACATCACTAACTATTAATTACCCTAATGCTATTCATTCATGGAAAATGAAAAATACTCTAAACACAACAGCTAATTAGTTATCACCAGGTTTAGTGAAACCACTCTAACCAATAAACCAAAATGTATTAACTAAAGTATACTAACCCAGTATCTCCAAATGGAAACAAACAAATTGGGAGGTAATAGTACAAAATATGCTAAAGTATATTTCACATATTCACGAGAACCACTCCAACAACCCCATAAAATTAATAGTTCATCTGGTAATAACCTTTGGTGGTGACTTTTTGTTTTCTTTTGGCAAGTGTCATCACCCTAGCACTTAGGGCTGTTCATAATTAAAAGCTATCTCAACCTGAAACTTTTGTCAACCAAGAAAAAGGAAAAAGTAAGAAGACAGCCTGTTTGGCAAAAGACTTGCCCTGCTACAACCCTTAACCTGCAAAATGAAACTTAAATCAAGTCAATACTCTGAAAAAAAAAATGAAAATTATAGTGTCTAGTAATAAGTATTGAAATAGTAGCCAATTCTATATGGCACTATCTCCCCCCACCCCACCCTTGAAAAGGGCCTTCACATTACATAACAAATGCCTTTTTTAGCTCTGTATTTATATGTGACATACTCTGGCATACCAAGAGAAAAAAGTTACAGGATAAACCAATAATTGTATTAAAAAAAACTTAGGCAAATGCAAGCACAAAAAACAAATTTTATTTCCAACATAAAGCCTGGGTGAACGCAAATATGTGTCTAGTTAGGTAACAACTGATAGTGTGCAGTCACACTTTATGTGCACAACTTTGTTTGACTAAGATGTCTGATGGTTGCTATCAGATGAAAACACATAATTGAGGAGCAATTTCTGTAAATTTTTCCAGGGTTCTGTTGTTGATGTGAGTGGCAGAGATGGTTCTTTACATCCTTCACCACCCAGCACTCCTTCCTCTCCTTACGTAAATTCCCGGAGAACACATCCTTCAAGTCCAGGACATTCTGCAAACACTGGAAAAACAGCGCATTCTATCAAAAACAATTCACAGCGTCCAGTGTTTATGCTTGAGAGCTGTTTTGTGATTCGTTGTGAGGAATTCTTTATCATGCCTGTGACTACTAGCAATGGTTCTAAAGAGGAACTGCCAGCATTTTTATCATCAGACAAAAAAGCATTATTTTTACCATCAGACATGCCAGCATTTCAGTTAGACTTTACTCAGTATTATTACCCTGGATCTGTTACAAGTGCAGGTAATTTGTCAGTTAAATACCTCATACTAGCCAAGTTCAAGGTCTGTACTGTAAGTTACTGACCAAGTTCTTTCTGCTCAGATTTATGGCCCACACACAAAGTGTGTGCCTTAAATCAGAGCAGAAAAAAACAGGGTTCCTTAACTTATGTCACTGACAGAGAAAGTGAGGTTGGTAAGATCTTTATTTTATCTCTGTATTCAAGTATGGATAAGATTTTGATAAGTGGATAAGATAAGCTCCGATTGTGAGAAAAAAAAATGTCAAAAAAATTTTTGGGGAGTAAATATGATTCTCCTTGAAATCAGCACCAATCTTATTTGATCTCTGGGCTTTGCTTTTGCCCCATTCCCTCCCACAGACCATACTTTACTCACACATCTCCCACTAGGATAAACAGAAACAGAAAAGTATGCCACACAGGCTAGCATAGCTGTAATGTCATTGAAATAGATGTACAAGTATGTGTAACACCAGAATACACAAATTTACCATTTCAGTGCCTACTCCAAACTTGTTTATTCAGTTAAACCCTATTCAGTTGACACTAGACACTGCAACATGTCTGTGGTTCAGCAGCTTCATGAGAAGCATTCTAGGACAAACAGTAAGTGTACATGTTAGCTGCAATGCATTTTATTGAGTAAAACTGAAACCAATGTAATTACAGCAGCCAATCAGAAGAAAGGAAAATTTCAGAAGGAGCCAATAAAGGGAAACTTAAATAAGTGTAAGGAGCCTGAAGCACAGGAAAATGGTAGTGACTAGGTTACAATTTTTCTAGTGTGGCATCTTACTCATTTATAGGGCACCTAAGCTTCAAGACTTATCACAGAATGTTATTAATCAAAACCACTCCACCCTTGATTACTTTTGACACTCAGTTGAGAATTACATCTTGGAAAAAAAAAAGCCAGTGTCTACTATTTGTATATATGATGTTCAATGTAACATTGATTCTTTTGTTTGAAGACATGGTCCAGGGGTCCACCTGAACAAGCTACATGTAGTTCACCATCAGATCATATTGATATCAGAATTGAAGCCCTTATGCCTAAGGTTGGTCTTGACTTCTCTACACAGAGTTGTTAACTTTGTTGCATTCTGAAAAGCAACAACAGTTGCTGTAGCGACATAATCATGACAATAGTTGTAGTAATGATGATGATTATGATTTTAAAAATGGTAGTAGAAATTTGTACAGAGTAATTTCTTTGTGGCATTTTCAAATGCACCTCTACAGTAATGTGACATTTTTTAAAAGATTACTAGTTGAGGAGCAAAAACAAGAAAATACATAGCTGCATGATACATTGCTTAAAGTGTTTAAATAATTGAGAGTGTTGTTAAGCAGAAATGATAAAAGTCATTTTTAAAAGAGATTGAAAGATTAACATAAGAAGTAGTGGAGAAATCACTATTGCCTACAAAATGTGGTCTTCATTTGTGACACCCTAACAGGAAGACTAAAAATTTGCTCAAAATTTTTTAATCCTTTCATTCCTAAGGTCTTAGTTAGTAATTCTCCATACTGTTTGCCATATAGTTTTCATGATTTAAGTTTGCAGAAATTAGTCTTGGATCAACTAATAATCTCCTAATTGAAAATTTTCCATGTTCTCATCACTTGTTTGCTAGATTTTGTGTTAATGTTGTATGGAGAAATTCTGTCTTGGTCAGTCATGGAAGTTGAAAGGTTAAGTCACCATACAGTGACCTAATCTCCTGAAGTTATCAAGTTAGCCTGGATCATGTGATGTTATGTCTTTGCAGAGATACACTCTTTTTATTTTACAGCTAGTTATTCCTTGCCCAAGTGACCCTTGTGCAGCATACAAAGATTCTCGGCCTCAGGGTCTCCAAGTTCAAGTATCTCAGGTGTTTATCACAAATTCGAGGATTGGAAACAAGTCTACCCAGACAGACATGTTGATGTTCCTTCAACCTTTCCTGGGCGCAAAAACTTACACAGACTTTCAGAACTTCCCATCCATGCCTGCTGATGTGCAACCTTTGCCTAACTCTTTATGGATAAATGATTGCAGTTTGCTGTCAAAAGATGCAAAGAATGATAAACATTTAAATGGCGTTTGTCAGGATATTTCTGGAACTCATCAGCCCTCACAGGTATCTTTTCGTTTATTTGTCAGAACTACTCCAGGAGATAAGACCTTTCAAGATTTTCTGAGGTAGATATTTTCAACACCTGCCATTTGATCTTCTTGAATGCTTTTGTCTGAGGGGAAGGGGTAGGTGGGGGCACTGATACTCATGACGAAGACTTGACTATTCTGTGTTAGAGTGTACTTATATTTGTGTCGCATGTATAAACCCTTCCTCGATAATCTTTCTTTCCTCAAGTTTTGGCAGGTTTTTTGTACCAAATCCCGTGCTTCTGTGATGCTCCCTGGTTCACTAAAAGATATGTACCTCGCGCAGTTTAGTTTTAAGTTGTATTTTTTTTATCGTACACAGGTTTGGTGCCTTTCAGCAGAGCAAGTGTGGTTTGATTTCCTTGGCATTGACGAGATAAAGAACCGACCGATTTCATTTATAGACGCTGTCCCGGTTCAAATCTGGATTGCTACTCCTTTACCGTTTCATGACCACAATACCACAGTAATGAATACGACAGCGGAAGGAATAGAGAGAACCAGCTGGTTAACCTCACCTACTCACCGGAGAACAGCTTCGGAAATTCTTTCTCCCAAAAGGAAGGGCTCGGAGCCAGTAATAACCATGAAGAGCAGAACAAATACAGGCACTCTGTTGTCAACGGCCACGAATGTTTTACACAGTAGTGACCCTAATATTAGCTCCAATCCCTCTGAGGCCCTTGATAATACCACACGAGATGGACCTCCACCCGCTTATGAGCCTAGAAATGAACCTCGCAAGCCATTCCCTGTTGTAAGTGAGCCTCCTCCACCTTACGAAACTCTGACGCATCATGAACCTGATTTGGCTGGTGCGCCCTCAGAGGAAGTGTCTTCGTTATCTAGGAAAGCTTTTATATCTGGGGACACTCCGAACGGCTTATCAGAATCAGAGGGAAGTGCTTGTCAGGAGCCGCCTTCAGGATCACAAGCTGATTTGAGCTTCCTAATCCACATTCCCCAAACTGTTAAAATACAATTGGACCACTTTCAATTTCTCTTCCTTGTGCGCTTGCAGGAGAAGTTGTCAAAGCTACAAGAAGATTTGGAAAAAGATCGCTTAAGACGAAACAACGCAGACTCTGAATTAAATGAGTCTAAAAACGCCCAACCTTCTCTCTTTTTTTCTATTCTTACCCGGGGTGTAGACTTAAATGTCGTACTCCCTCCTGCCCCAGACGGAGATGGTTCTCGTGAAGGGGGAACGCCGTCTGAAAGCACAAGTCGTAACGCAAGTAGTCTAAGTAGCTATTTAGACACCGGCGTTGTGTTGGACAGTGGCTGTCAATCTCCTGACGTCATTGATTTTAAAACACTAAGACCAGATTCTGAGGAAGCTATGCGGAAGGATGGATCGGTGTGTGTTGATGATCGCGATGCTAAATCCAGCGAAGAGGTCCCACCGTCACCTCGTGCCAGCTCAGCGCACACTTCAGGCCGAACCAGCGCTGCTTCGGCACCCGACTCCGATGGCTGGCTGGTAGTTCCAGCTTGCGACAAATTAGCTTCAGGGAGTGTTAAGAGTAGGGCAGATAGCGAAGCAAGTAACTTCAGTAGTCAGTTGGGTAGCAGTATTTCTAAAGGTTCTAGCAGCAAGGACGTTGAAGTCGAGCATAAAGATCCACCAAAGATGGTCTCGATTTTCTCCATCGAGGGAGAGGACGTGGAGCTCGGAATCCATTTCCAAGGAAATGACACAGTTGTAAAGATTTTATGCCCTGAGCTAAAATGGGAAGAACTTGGTGTGATCAATTTTGAGAAATATCTGAACCGAAAGTCCTTTAGAAAGTCTCTTACAAAGACCACTATCCCTACGGCGTCAGAGGGAACTCCCATGATGCGCATGCGTATGGAGTTTGGTCCATGTGCGGAGCGGTACGAGCGGACAGCGGCTGAACGAGGTTTCATGCACATCAAAGTGAATGGTGTTAACGGTTCCCTCCTGGTCAGTACTCTCGGGAATATGGCGGAGTGGATCGAGGACGAAGTCGTGCTTCCACCAATGCCTTTCCTAGTCGAAGTAAACAACTCGCGCGTGAGCATCAACAACGATCTTCCGCCCACGTTGGTGTCAGCACCTGTGCCCATTCCAGTTGATTTAACTGTTGAGAACATTTCCGTCAGCCGAACCCACGACGGCGTCTTACACATCAGACCGATGAGCAATGAATCAATCGTTCGCGAGAGTGAACAAGCGTCTGTGTCTATCACACGAGAGGAATCGATATCTGCCAGTCAGTTGAGCTTATCAGATTCAGCCTCAGTTTCTTCTCGTACTGAGAGCCTGGAGAATGAGAAACAGAGTCTGATGTCGCAGATGGCTGTTTCTCGTGCTGCTTTGCAGTCGCTGCAGGAAGAGCGCGATGCACTATTAAAAACGATCGAACGTCTGCAGCAGGAGTTGTCGTTTTCAAACCGCGAACAGGACTTGCTGCAAGAACGAATGACAAGCTTTCAGAAAGGTGGAAGGAGAGGGTACAGATAAGATTGTTACCACTTGAGAATGGTTGTGTTTCGAATTGATGGCGGTAGTTCGCTCTAAATTGAAGGAATTGAAAGACTCTTGGAGCTTCAGGAGGTCTTTCTAGGCTCACGAAGCGACTTCTAGGATCTGGAAGTTGTTGCATGATTGAGAAAAATGAGAAATAGTTCACTGAAAATATTTAGTTGGACAAAGACTTTTTGTGTCGTAATGGAACGAATTCAGAATTGACCCAACATCGGCGTCCAACAATGTTGACATTTTAGAATTGCAAAAAACAGTAGAGCATAAATTTTATTAAAGAAGCTAAAAAAAGCCTATGGAGCTAAGTTAAATTCTAAAGGTCTAGAACTATTTTTTATAACTAGAGGCGAAAGTGTGATAAAGAAACATTAAGTATCTTAAAGTATAGGAAAACTCGCTTTTTTTGCTCGCAATGATAATTTGTAGCCACAATAACAAGTTTGAATTCAAAGTCTTAATAACCAAGCTCCGTAAAGTAGAATTCTCTTTTTCTTCTGTTAGTTCTAAAGTTTGAGAACTTACACAAGGGTACGATCGTTGAGGTGGAATGAATTATTTGCTTTATTTTTTTATTTGATCATTTGTTAACAAGCATTTATAATATTTTGGGATTAAAATATGGGAAAATAATGAAATCACAGTGAGACAAATTTCTAAACATTTTCCCTCAAAGGATTAGAAGTGATTTTTGCCATATTTTATAATTATTTGACATTTTCACATTAGCAACATAATAAAGGCTTACATGATAATGTTTGAAGCACATATCAAACCAGAAATGATGACCTTCGACCTTACGGTATTTGGCAAAGAGATAAAACTAATTATAAAATATTTTCATTTGTGTCACAATTTCATGAGGTGATGGTCGTGCGGTTGACTCGGTTACGTGTCGCTCTTTAAGGCACAATAATCCGCTGATGACAAGACAAGTTCGATTTTCTACAACTCTCACGATCGATGCATTTCGATCCTCGTGAATTCTTCCCTGAGAATTCTGTTCTTATATCCGCCCCCTTCAACCGTAATTTCTATTCCATTGTCACATATGATGATAATGATGAGTGAGTTTCTATGCAACTCGCCTCTTTGATCTGGCTTGTGAGATGAAAAATGATCACGATCAACAAACTTTACTTTATTTCAAAGTGAGGAAAAGCGGCTGTGGTCTCTGGGTATGGAGAAATACGATGATTGTTTGGTGAACGTCCTGAATTCTTCCTGACTTTCACAGATTAAGTCCTCCAGTCTCACTGTAGTAAACTTTATTACATTATTTCTTGAATCCCATAGACAGCGTTTGGAGTTTTTCCCATCTAGCGATTGTTTCATTCATTATAAGACTAAGTAAAAAGGTTGGCAATAAGGTATTCTGTGGGAAGAAACTTCACTGCTGTCCACTAACGGCTCTGTTAGATATCGCTCTTTCGTTGGCCTAATAAAATTTTAATTGTAAAAGTTAGAGCTTTGCATTGTAACACCAGATGAAATAACATTTGTTAATCAGATTGGATGCCTGAGTTGGCCACCTCACGATAGAACGTGGATCGAGAGTTCCACTTTTTTTTCGCCAGAAACAGAGAGCACATACAAACCACTCAAAATAAGCGGTTTTCGTGATAAGACAATCAGTACGTGCTTGCCGCTATATCAGCCGTATGTGGGTATCTGATTACTAATTTATTGTTTCGTGGTCAAGTTCGGACATGATAGAGATCACTCTTGGATGACTTATTTTGTGAAGTGAAAGCAGATATTGTGTAATTTTTTTATTTCTCTACTAGCAGAGGCCTCTTTCCTTGTATCCAGCATACGAGGAAAAGAGGCCTCCACTAACAGGGAATTTATTATGTTGACAGCTCGAGCGTCAAACTAGCCGCCGTAGCTAGCAACACGCAAGTTGCCATCAATCCGATAGAGCCAATCATATTATAACTGCTGGACGTGACCTATTCACTTTGTGCCTTCGTTTACGTTTAATTTAATTAAACACATAATATGCCTTATGTCTGACAACAAAGTACTGATAAACCCCTTCTATGTTTCTGTGGATTCGACCGAACAAACAGAGTAATTTAGGAGACGAACAAAGCTGTTGAAATATTCGTGCTCGTGTGCGTTAACACAGCTGTCAGGACATCTCTGAAGGTCTCGGTAAATAATTCCAGGAATCTGAGAGAACCAACAGAGCTTTTGTCTTGTTTTTCAGGGAGAGAGTTTTTTGTAACAAACATACCTCAATGATTTCTTTTGATTATCTCTTAACAATGTCAAGTTGAGGTTCCATCGAAACTCATTCGATTGATTACTATTTCCTGGTGATTTAATTTTCCTCTCTTTGTGTAGTTACCTTTTAAATCAGTTCTATAAAACACACATCGCATGTCGATAGGCTATTTTTAGCTAGACTGACGGTTTTGTTTTAATTTCACTTATGTTTGACTTTCATTGTTTTGGATTATGACAACAGATACAACAAAAGGGTGAATAAAGATCAAAGTTATACGTGCATGTACATGTAAAAAAAGAAGCCCTTTTGGCTGTTCACACGGAGAACTCTATCTTTGTCCTCGGCGTGTCCCTGCTGTTTTCGAGAAGAAGCAAAACTTGCATCAGTCTTGCACTTTAGAGAGGACAGGATTCGAATGAATGACTAAATGAGTGAAGATCAATGAGCAGAACGATAAATTGATAGATCGATAGATAGACAGATAATTGAAAAACTGAGTAAAAAGTACATCAAGAAAAAACTCCATTTTAATGTTAATCATTTTAATTCTAGAAAAAGGTTTCCCAAAGCTGACTCACGCTTATCATTTACGTCTTTATTTGTTTTTGTTTGGATTTTTGTCTTCTTCTTTATTTCGTTGGTCGTCAGGACGATCTGCAAAATATGTCACTCCACTACTGTCACACATTCTCGGTCACAAACATTTCGTTTTTTTCTAAAAATACTTTAGAAAGGCGGATAGAAATTAGACTAAGGAGACAGCTCCGAATTTATCACTTTGGGAATTTTCACCGATACCTGATGAGTCGACACGTGAATAATTTATGCCCATATCAGACTTCGTGCAGCGAACTTCGCTAAAGAAGGCGGGAAGCTGAACTTTCGCGATCAAATGTCACGCCTTAATTTCACTCAAACTGTGCGCGCGCTGACTTCAAACTGGGCTCACGGGCGCTGTTAGGCTACGAGGAAGACTAAGTTTTCTAAAGCGGAGGCGAGCCGATTAGTTAAACGACGAATTCAGTGCAATCCAAGTTGACACCAGTAAGCTTCGCAGTCGTTCATTAATGTTCTTCTTTCCGGGCTCTTTGTTAATCGTATCCAAGTGCTTTGGTTAGATCTATTGTGCGCAAAAGTGCAGGGGCGAATCGCAAATTGATAGCGGCTTACGTATTTCCTTTGTGATCTCTGCCGATATCGATGAAAACTATTATGTGACACTTAAATTTATTCCACATAACATCTTGATGTTGCGAGAATGACTCGATTTGTAATCGCGAAGCTTTCATTTTTTCGTGCATCCCAATTTCACGTCATCTGTCGCCGTTTGCGTTCGACACGTCAAGGTCCCTCGGGCCTTCTTTAGACTTTTTCCTCTTCATAGCTAATCAACTAGATCCATCTGCTTCACGTTAATTCGGCGGTAAGCGTGACGCTTTTGGTTGTTTTTAATACGCTCCGCTCATGGTTTGACTATATTGATCAGAGCCATCTGTCAATATTCCCGTGAATTTGCGCGGAGGCTACCTTTGACATGTACGGCTTGCTTTTAGAGAATTTTCGCAGTGTCTTGCTAGAGAAATATGGTGAAACGGTGTGGAACAAAATTGTGGAGAAGTCTGGAACACGGCATCATACATTTGCTACTCACAAGGTATATTCCGAGGATATCATGGTACGTCTTGTACAAGCAGCTCTGGAAGTAACGAATGCAAGCAGAGAAACACTTACCGAAGAAATCGGCCTTCATTTTCTCGGATTCATAGGTCAGTACGGTTACGACAGGATTTTGAAAGTCCTCGGCCGGCACATGAGAGATTTTCTAAATGGTCTGGATAATCTCCACGAGTACTTGCGGTTCACTTACCCGAAGCTAAAAGCACCGTCGTTTTTCTGTGAAAATGAGACAGAGAGTGGCCTCACGTTACATTATCGATCCTCAAGGAAAGGGTTTCTGTATTACGTGATTGGCCAGATAAAAGCAGTCGGTCAATTCTTCTACCACATTGAAGTGGACGTCGAAGTGTTGGAGTACAATGAAAACAAAGAAGGCAGTTACGCCTTGTTTCAACTCACATTCGACAACAGTGTTTATATGGAAACACGTCGACGACCTAAACGTCACTCTGTCATATCCCTCAATGGCGACACCGGCAGCTTGAAGATACCGATGGAAATTTTCTACGAGGTTTTTCCATTTCACATTGTCTTTGATCGAGACATGGCAATTTCCAGCACTGGAAATAGCTTGGAAGCTATATTGCCCGCTCTTCCTGGAAAAACTATTGTCTCACAGTTCACACTCATTCGACCTTTCGTCCATTTTACATGGGAAAACGTAGGTTACCATGATCTCTTTTTTTCTTAAGTATCTTTATTTACTTCATTTTTCATCCAACCTTTAGTCCTTCAGTGACCATGATATGGTTTTGATCATTTGTGGGATTCGTTCCCTTAAAAATTGCCACATTAATTATTTTGAAGTAAGTTTTTGAGGGTAAACGCAATCTTTTACTCATTTGAGGTTTAGTTATAATCTTGTAACAGAGTCCCTTGGCAAATTAAAAATACATGTGTCGATTTATTTTATTAAACAAATTTTTAAAGCTTTACTCATAACTTAGCAACTGTTGCTACATGCAAAACATTGTTCCCGTACCCTTTTTTGGAAAACATAATTTACTTTTTTACTTTGAGACCTCCATGCAATGAATATTTTGAAAGGGTTAGAGAATTTATTAAAGTGTTTTTTTCGGTTAAAAATAGAGCTATCTTGGTCCACAGCTTCAGATGCAGGTGTATATAGCTTGCTGCTAAGGATAGAATGTGCTAGTCTGTTGCAGTTTAACTCCTCATGTTTGGGCTGATGTTATAGATGTAAAGTAAATTTTCCAAAATATTATCCAAGTAATTCCTTAAATCTCTCTAACAATCACAGAATCAAATACACTCTAAATATCTCCAATTTTTGTTTCATTATAAACCAATTTTGTGCTGTCATTTTTTTCTGGTTTTGCTGGAAGGGATGAAAAGGACATATTGCAATATAGTGTGAATATTATTCATTTGTTTCAAATTGATACAAGAAGAATTAAACAAATACTTGTGGCTCAGCTCAGAAGTTTGGGTTGCTTTAGTGAGATATTTGTTTCAAAGCTAAGGTGCAGCTATCTCTTGTGTCTTGCTTACAAAAGGAGTTGAATTTTTCTATTTGAGAACATTTTCATTGTACCCTGCATAGTTAACAGATTTTATTAATATACTCAACCACTGAATCAGTTCTGTTTGAAAGATTCATTCCTTTATTCATTAACTTGGTGTGGCTTTGTGCTATACTTAAACTTTCTTCACACATCAATATTGTCGAAGTGTGTATTATAAATATGGCTGCTAATCATGTAGAAAACTCAGGTGAATGGCTGCAACTTTTTATAATTTTGGTTCTAAATGGCAAGATATAAGGTTGAGTTTGAATAGGGGAAATGCTGCTTTTTGTCATGAGAAGTAAATGTTAAAAAAGTGTAGGTTCAGTCAGAGAAATTGTGTACCAATTACCTTACAACCTGATTCATGCAAATAAATAATTCAAACTTCTTTGCATTTTGAGCTTCTAGACAGAATTATTTTTAGAAGTCAAGATGAAATTTTAATAAAGTTATTAGTTTGTTCATGTGTATTTTCACTTTCATTATAATTGCATCTTCTTTGTTTCAATGTCAAACAATGAGATTGGGAAAAGATTTAAAAAGAAAACCAGAATTGGTTATGATATATTTTTTGTGAGGAAGAATTTTGTTGTAGAGGATCTTCTTTTTGAACAAGAATTGAATCTTTAATATTAAAAAAATATGTTTCTCTGAGGTAGATCATAGTTTTGTCTCCTTTTACTTTTTATTTAATATGTATATACTTCCTGCGTGTTCATTAAACGAAGTGAATTTCCGTAGATAAGTGCTATCACATAATGTCTAAGTGATATTGGATGCAATGAAAAATTTTTTCCCCTGTTGAAAATAAACAACATCATTTTGACTTTGAGTTTGAGTTGAATTCAGAGTCTCTTAGTATTCAAGTGTAGCCTCTGAATTTTCACTTACATCTAAATAGTTAAAGCAAACAATAAATCAGACGTCTGAAATTTTGCTCATTTCTATATGAAATGAAATAGATTTTCAAATATGATTTGATTTTAGCACCAGGGATGAAGCTAAAATTTTCAATAGAGAGAAATTTTGAAGCAAAACTGAGCTATAGGGCTTTTTTTTATATTGGGAAGTAAAAAGAGAGATATTTTCCTTGGGTTGTAGACTTCATCTATGGTAGTGAGTACAGGTGTATTTAAAGGCAAGATTTTACAGCTGGAATTTTTTTACTCTGTCAACTAATATACTCCTCTGACAAACCTTCCAAAATTATGTATATCTGAAGTGGGATAATTGCTTCCTCATTAATTCTGACACTTTCCCGCAATACTTCAATCACTATACATATTTTCCAATTTGTGGTGTCATGAAGAATACATAAAGATCTGATGGTTACCCACAAATTGTCACCATGTAAAATCTCTTTACCTTTTTTTGTGTTAAAGAAAGATGCAATTATTTCCATAATTCAGGAACAGTAATTGATTGAAAAGAAGTGAACTTGAACATCTTTCATTCACAGGTTACATTGCATACAAATGTGGTATTTGAATTACAGTCCATCAAGCCTGTGTTACAGAATAGTGTTTCTTTTGTGGAGAATGGTGCAAATGGAGAAATGGTTTTAAATGGAACTGATAAAGGTGTCTCCAATGAATTATGTTATATCCATCTTAAGGGACAGATGCTGTATATGGAAGACTGGCAATCAATGGTATACCTTGCTACTCCGATGTAAGTGATTTTGGAGTTTGTGAGTTTGAATTATATATTTTTTGTGTTACTTTGCAAGCTGACCATGTTTTTGTGTATGTTATGGGTCATAGGTATCATAGACAGATGAAGTTTAAAATTATGTTCCTGAAATACTGAATTTTCATGGGAGGAGACTTCAATTTTTCAAAGCTGCGGCGATGCTGCCATGAAGGATCAATTCCCTTGTGGTAATTTTCGTGAAACACTTTGGGGTGCTCAGAAAAATTCCCTTGTTATTTCACCGTAAATCATGACGGGGTGGCAGTTAAACAGAAATTTAATGGCTGAGATTTTTAGGAGCTGAGCCCTGGAGTACTTTAAAGGTGATCAAAAGGATTTTAAACTCGATACGTTGGTGGATAGGCAACCAGTGAAGTTGTTGAAGGAGCGGCATAACATTATAGTGTATAGGTGCGCAGAAGATCAGTTGCACACAGGCATTCATAACACATGGGAGTTTTTGCTTGTGATGGTCAGGGATGTATGCATGTATGTAAATCACATATGGATAATTATTAAGTAAGTGGAAACCAGAGGTAGATAAATTGTATCCCAAGATAGCTTAATTTAAGGCAAAGAGAATGTTGAAACAGATATAATTGTAGTTCTTATATGACTTAATGCACCATGACTGGGGTACTAAAGGTTTTCATCGCTGAAAGTTTATGAAAGGGCAGATGTTTAAATGCACTTTAACATATTAATAAGAGAATCTACCACTCAAGGGAACTATTACCACCAGCTCCTTGGAGTCACTTAGAAGGGGAACCTCATAGTGCCTTAATTTTTAGATTTTTGTGAGAAATTTTAATAGAGATCTGAAGTTACTCCCCAAAAAGGCAAATGAATTCTCCAAGAAATAGTCCCTTTTTGGATGAAAGTCCATTCTCACTAAACTTTGTTTTTCCTAATTCTCCTAAATCAAACTTTTTAGGTTTCAGTGTGGTGTGGAATAACTTGATGACAAACAAACTCCAAACTATGATATATATGCTACAGCCAATTATAATCCACTTTGTTGCTTTGCTATCAATATGTAAATTATGAATTTATTTGTAGTCATTACCAATAGGCTTATTTATTTTAGTAATTAAACCCCTTTTGGCAGCTGTTATGTTGGCTGATGATGTCCACAGCTGAGAGAAAAATGAATATTTGGCTAAGAAGTGAAGCTTTAAGGCAAAATGTGAAATTTTAAGAACAATCTCTCAGAAAGGGATGCTATCAGCAATATACCAGCAAGCCAGATGGGGGGTTGTATATTTTATAACCCTCCTATCAATTTTTATATCATGCAAAAACTGCTTGTAAAAAAGTAAGGTTTGAATTGATAGAAGATGCATATTTTCTACGTGATGCATATTTGTAACCAACTTTTTGATATTACTATCTCTCAGGACTCTACAAAACAAGCTTGTTTTTTTCTTATGTAAAATAGGAGAGATGAATCATGAAACTCTTTGACTGGCTTTTTCCACTGCTTATATCCCCTTTTTACAAGAATAATTGTTAGAAAATAAAGATGGGGATTATTGCAAGACAGCTGTCCAGTGATTTTGCACATAAAGTAGTCAATAATGTCACGCAAAAATTAATGGCTGGGTTATAATTGGTAATATTACACCTTGTTGGGGTTTTTAAATCAGGAATACATTAGCAAAGTCATAGGATCTTAAAAGATGTGCAGTCTAATTTGTGCTCTAATTGCAGCATTGAAAAGTTGGATGTGATGTGCTCCCTTGGATTGTACATCAATGACCTGAGCATGCACGACTCAAGCAGAGACCTTGTGCTTGCTGGAACACAGCAGTCAGCAGAACTCAGGCTGGCTCTTGATCAGGTTTGTTAGACAATATTACTGGTAATCCTTTGACTCCTAATGTTAAAAGCAACCAGCATCTAGTTTCTCTTTACAATATTACCCCTGAATCAAAAAAGTTCTTAGGAATAAAGTAAATGATCACCTACTAAAGAAACTCTTGATTGTTAAACAAATTCTTCTTGGCAGCACCCTAGGAAATGTGTAGAGAATAGTATGGAGAATATGCATACTGATGTTAAGGTGTCAAGGGTAAAGCCTTCTCTGTGGATAACATTAACACCCTATTACAGCTGAGCCATGAATTTAGATAATAAAAATTGCATTTTCTGAATTTCTCTTTTTGAATGTATTCATGTACAAGATTTCACAAATGTAGCATAATATTACATGCACTTGTAGGAATGCTTTCATAGAAAACAAGATAATATTTATCTATGTTAAATATTTGAGTATAAATGCCAGAATGAAGTTATGAAGTTCTTCTACAGATCTGGGGAATGATTTTTATCATAAAAATTGTATTTGAGAGCATGATAAGTGAATACCTTTTTACAACATTTTTCAAAATGCATGCTGTGTACATGTAGTGGGGTGTAGCCTGCAAAATGACCAGTAGATGCATTTGAATAAACATAGAGAAAACAATTAACATTCAAGTGTTCGATATATAGCAAATAGATCAGATTGTTGATAATATTTTAGCAACAGTTGCATTGTAAATATACATTCCTAACTTCGTTAGTGGTCTTTCTTAGCTGGTTATACTGATCAATGAGAATCTGTAAAGTGGAAGCATAGCAGAAATTTGAGTATTTTGGCAGCTGTCAGTTTGAGTATGTTTAATGCAAATTGAAATCTTTTTTTTTCCTGTTCCCCTACTGGGTGGTCAGTCATATATTCACTTTGTTGCTAGATGCCTGCATATTGCTCCATGATAATACAGTATGCAAACAATTTTAACCATCTTAAGTTGATAGATCACATAGGTATATTAGCATTGAACTCTCCACAGTTTGTTATTGTCAGATAACAAAACAAAATCATTATAAGTCAATAACTAGTACATTATCAAGACAATCTGAAGCTCAAGTTGGTGTGTTCAATATCGTTGAGTGTTTTTATTGCTTAAAAAGGCATGCAGCTTGTTGCTGAAGGAATCTCATTGATATAGTTCTTGAATGTTCTTGAATCTTTACAATCTTTATGCGCACTTTCCGGCAGAAAGTTTAATATTCTTGAAAAATTGATTTAATTTATGATAAATATTAATCCCAGTGTTCTTGTGAGGAGTTCATGAGCTCCAAGACATGTGATGTGATTTTTTCCTCTCCTTACCTGTTTCTCTGCATATGGAGTACCCCCCTTCCTATAAAAGAAGGGAAAACATACAATGAATGTTTAAAAACTCAACTACCCTATCCATGAAATATATTTTTATTTGTTAATGATCATTTTATTTTACAGGAATTGATCAAAAGTGCAAAGCTTGAGGAGAGCATGAAGGAACTAGACATTGAGAAGAGGCGCACTGACTCACTGCTCTATCAAATGATCCCCAGAACAGTTGCAGATCGCCTCAGGCAGGGTGAACCAGCTCTGAATACTTGTGAGGTATGCAAATTCACAACACCTTGCCATTTACCTGTATTGATTGGACACTGCAATTAATTATCCCAAGTAAGGTTTTATTGGGCAAAATTGTGTGCCTTGTGTGTTTATCCCTTCCCTGTGGCCATCACCCATTTGCTGTTTTTTAAGAAACCCTCTGTTAACATCAATATGTACCTCCATATGTGCAATACCTGGGCATTATCAAACAATTATGCAATTAATCCCTTAAATCCTGAGTGTGTGAGTGTCTTTTTTTTTTTCCAGATGTTCCATGATGTGTCTGTGCTGTTCAGTGATGTGGTTGGATTTACACACATTTGTTCACTTATTAGCCCCATGGAAGTGGTGACCATGTTGAACAATATGTACACTGTGTTTGACCAGATCAGTGAGCAGCATAATGTCTACAAAGTGAGTGATAACCTATGGCTGACAGCAAGCTTCTTGATTCTGCATCAAACTTGGGAATGTACAAATATCTTTTCACAGGAATTCAGTGACTCTATTTATTTAAAAGAATAGGGGAAATAGTCTTGGAATTGCCCTTTTAAAACAGTTCAATATCACTCACTCTCTCTCTCTCTCTCTCTCTCTTTTATTCCATTTCATAAAAATGTTATTCACCTTTTCCCATCTTCTTTGCATAGTATTGTCTTTTTTCCCCTTAGTTTTTGTTTGGAAGGTTTTAAGGATTAATTTTACCTTACCATAAGGAGAAATCAGAGTCAATGAAATGGCCTCATTAGAGCTACTTATATCCCCTCTAATCTTAGTCCATGATTTCTTTTGGAGTTAAACCTTTATCATCATCATCCACATTGTCAATTCTGTTCTCTGTATTTCCTTTGGTCTTGACAAGGAGAATTTTTAACAATCAAAGTTTCTTGGGTTGGCAATCATTTTCTCTACTCTTTTGATCTTAGTGAATGATGTCAGCAGAATAACTCTGAGGAGAAATTTGCCGCTGGTCACACTTATGGTTGAACTAACATTTTGTTACAGGTGGAGACAATTGGTGATGCATACATGGTAGTTAGTGGTGTCCCTGGAAGGAGTATGTATCATGCAGAACATGTTGCAGACCTTGCACTGGATATGATAGCTGCCATGCCAACACTCAGTGATCCATCAAAATCAAGTGAATACCTTAAGATAAGGATAGGTAAGGAAATGTTTGCAGTAAAGTTCTCATTAATTAACTGTACTATCATTTACATTTTCACTCAGGTTACATGTAATAAAGCGAATGGTTTGAAACCAGGGGTAACAGTCAAACCTACAAGAGTGACTTACTTAGGTGATGCAATGCAAATGCAGTGCAAATGCAATGCAAATACAAGGGAAGGTGTAGGGTCAATAAATAACAACAATAGTGATCCATTGATTTTGGGGAAAATGTACTAGGTAAATTCAAAGAATTGCAGAGCCATATTGCTGAGTCAAGTGAAGATTGGCTGTGATGTGATTGCACCCCCAATTGGCACTTTACCACCATGTTTGACCATTAATTTTAACATCCTTCTTGAATACAAACTTCCCCTTCAAATTTGTGTGTGTTTTTTATATTTTGAATCTGAATTTTATATTTTGAATCTGATTAACAGACATGTATTAGTGCAGATCCTAATGATGTTTGCACATCAAATGCAAGTGTGAAGGGTGAAGATGAGTGTTTTTGTATGAAGTCATTGTGTTTCATGGTTATTGTGTCATGAGAAGTACTATTCTAAGGTCATGATTCTTCAGCCAAATTATTTGGTCCGGTATAAGAATTCAAAACAGTAATTAATGCTTGTCTTAATTCTATATTAGGTGTACATACTGGTATGGTTGTAGCAGGTGTTGTTGGTTTGAAAATGCCTCGGTATTGTTTGTTTGGTGACACTGTCAACACTGCTTCTAGGATGGAGTCTACAGGATTGGTACATATTTACTTTTTTAAGTACATCATTGTTTTTTTTTTAAGAAAAGTAAGATTAGAAGGCATGCATACAATTACAAAATTCAAAGCTGAGTTAAAAGTCACAGCTCAGGTCAAACTGGTGACATTTTAGATGTGCAATTTTTGTAACGTTAAAATATCTCTTCTATTAAAACAATTTTCATTTTCATGAAGGAACCTTGATGAAGAATGAAGTATGGTAGCTTGCTTACACTTTATAAAAGCAAGATTAAGACATAATTGTAATGTGCTAATTTTTTTCCTTTTTGTTTTTCACATACATTTGTTATCATAAGTTGTTTCTAATTTTCATTGTTTAGTCCATCTGTTCTAACTTGTTTTACTTTTTTCTTTTCATTTTCATGGCATGCTGTTCTGTGATTTACTAAAATATCTCGGAATGTTTTCTTGTCTGTCTAGGCCATGAAAATTCATGTTAGTGAGACAACTTACAATTGTTTACAAGCTGCTAACTATCTCATGAAGCAAAGAGGGAGTATTGATATCAAGGTACTCATTCATTTTTGCAAACTCCTATTTCAGTTGTTAATACCAAATTACCTTGTTATACTCTCCAAACAATGCAGCACAGTTTCTATAGAACCACAGTTTCTATAGAAACTTACCCCCTTTATTCATTAACCTACATAGAACTTACCATAAACATGTATGAACTTGGCTTACATTAGCAATACACAAAGAATCCTGTGCAGAGAGTTGGTAGAAAAGATGGTAAAGTTTGAGCTTGGTTATGAAAATGAAAGTTGGTAAACCTTGGCCAGGACAGGACAGGAAAAGAAAAATAAGATGCATTTTAGTTATGACACTGACTTCTCTCTGTATACTTGCTGTTAGGGAAAGGGAGGAATGAAGACTTACTGGCTTGTTGGTAAGAAAGATGGAGGAGAAGCGGTCCAGTCTTATATGTCTATGGTGGGAGGCCACACTACTGCAATTGGGGGACACCATCAGGGGGAAATGTCTCATGCTACCATGGGGAGCCATACTTTTCAGCCCAAGGCTGATTCTGTGCCTGAAGAGGAGGAACTCATTGAAACAGAAGATGATGTAGTGATACCACAGAAAGACTGTCCAGTTGCCTACTATGGTCATGTTCCTCACACACCACACAGCTCTAATAATGGAGTTCTCTTCCAATGGGAAAAGGTGAGAAAATAAGTTTTTTTGTGCCATAGTTACACAAAATTTTGCATTTCCAATGAGCTTCAATGAATAGGTGTGGAAAAAATGCCAAACTAGAACCAACAATATCTGATGTTTTAATAAAAATTGATGTAGGCAGTTGTGACTTAAACTTTAGTAATACCTTTTAATGCTACATTCACCAAGAAAAAGCAAACTTACCATTTCTCTTTTCTTTTTTTCTTTTTTTTTTTTTTTTCTTTTCAGGTCAATTTTAAAGAAGATACTTTAATAGAGGTAGACAATCCTGCTGTGGAAGAGAAACAAAAAAAATCAGACATGAAAAATGGACCAAATACCCAGAAGGAAGTAAAGGCCAACAATTCCAATTCGACACTAACCACCATGTGCAGTCTTTTCTAAATTATCACTGGTTGGTAACTAATTTTATCTGTATACTTATAATTTTATTAATAGGTGCTTACAGCACAATAGTTGGAGTCACATGTAATGTTGAAACATGCACAATTACTACTAGCCTGAAGAGAACCATCAAATCTCTCTTTCACTTTCTGACCAAAGTTATCAGAATAGATGAAAGGGGAACTTGGATATTGAAGGATTTGATAGTTTGGCATGAATTAGAAACGAACAACTTGAACAAAACTCTGAGGCAGCTTGGATTTTTATAGATACAGAAATTGTGGCATGGCTCAGGAAGAATCTTGATTAATTTTTTGCACAGCAATATTTATTAAACTTGTCTTGAGTGAAAAAAGGGTGGGTGGAGCTAATATGGAAGGAGGGGTCATTAACTTAACATACAAGCAGCCTTGTACATTGACCTTTAATGTTGTTAAATGCCTTGATTGTCTTTAGACATGATTTACATGTTCAAGGTAATGTTCCTTTATAAAATGTTTTTAAAAAAATAGTTACAGTACTGGATAGGAGACATAAGGGCCTAATAATTGGCAGGGCTGGCAATCTGTCGGCTAGCTGGTTAGATGCAAATTTGAGACTTACGCCTGTCTCACTGTGTTGTGTTCTAAGGCAAGAGTCTTAACTTTCACAGTGCCTCTCCTAAGCAGGATTGTCAACCCTTTAACCCCTAAGAGTTACTAGCATCTAATTTCTCCTTACAATATCACCTCTGAATCATACATTAAGGTCATGAGAATAAAGGAAATGACCACCAACCAAATAGGCTCATGATTGTTAAACAAATTCTCCTTGTTAGCACCTTAAGAAATGTATAGAGAACAGTATGGAGAATATCCATACTGATTTTAGGGTGTAAAGGGTTAACAAAATTGTAGGCACAGGTGAACTGAAAATGAACTTGACAAAATACTGAGAGTAGCCTGATATGGATGAGGTCCCATCCACAAGGATTAGAAGTGTATCATAGGATGCCACAGAAATCAAGTTGAACTCAGGACATGGGCTGCTTTGTGTGTTTATAACTTGGTTTATCATAAATGCTTTTACTGGATGATTCATGTCTTCCAGCTTAAGCGACCTATTGTAAATTTGTTCTTAAGGGTCGACTTCGAACAATTTAAAAGGATTTTAATCATTATGCTATTTCTAATTATGCAGAGATATGTTATATTACATAGGGGGTAATTAGTCACCACAGATTAGATCAGTGATCTTTTATGAACAAGATATTTCTTAATATATATTAAAAAAGGGCTGGTTGATCCACCAAAAGATTACTACACCATAAAATTCATAGCACAATAAAATATTTAAAGAGAAATTATTGTGAGCTAGGCTCAGAAAATAAATTATCAAATATGCACATTTCCTGAGGAATACTACTTTATATCTGTTATAATACAGTAGCCTATGAAAACTGGGATTGTTTCAGAGCATTAAGTCAATATACAATAACGTTAGAAGTTAAGATGATAACCCAACATCTGCTGCAGATATTGGTTTATCACGTCGAGTTCAAAGTCTACCTAGTTTTCAATCCCCCTTGTTCATGTATTTTACAACTCAGAGAGTTATGTCTCCTTTTGCAATTTTTTTAAAAAATGTATGATAAAACAATTGTTAAATTTGGTTTTCGCATGATATTATGAATTATCAAACCTCGTGTCTGAGTTATCTGCCAAAGCCGAAGGCTGAGGCAGATCACTTGGACCTTTATATTGATAATTCATGATACCATGCTCAACCTCGTCCAATTGCTGCCTATTAATTTCATTGGGATATTCCTTTTTGCGTAGAAAATTCCACTACCTGCCATGCTAGAACACCTCGTTCCCTCACTCTTTGTCGCAGACATACATTAACAAAAATATTTTCATAGTTTACGTTACTTGTGTGATTATGAACTGGACAGGCGGAGATACCAACATGCTCATGGCCATGTTTAACTTGCAAGTGAAGAAATGATGTTAGATCTTATCTTATTTCAATAACTAATCTTACTTGTAAATACTGATCGTCAAACACAAACAAACTCTATGTATAGTCTTGGTGTTTAGGTATGTTTGAATCTTTGAAAGTTCTTATTTCAACATTCTTTTTGTTGTATAAATTGATGCAAACAATTGTGAGAGTATGTTTAATGTAACGTAAGTTATTAACTCGATCTTCCAAATTTTTCTTGCTCATGCGACGAGTCCTGCATAGGGCTGAATGTTATTTTGATGTTTTGGGAAAAAATGTTTAATTTTATTTTGGTTCTCGAGTTATTTTATGTTGTAACAACAACAACTTATGATTTATTTCGCCATTTTCTGATATTTATGGGGACATACATCAATATTTCGTTTTGCTGTAATTTTTTTAAGCATTTGGTATGGGATACCAACAGAAAAACTCACTTCTATTCATTGTTTACTTAATCAGGGGAATTGAGAGCTGATCATTCTCCCAGGGGCTTGGAAAGTAAGTTATTTATTTGCGTCTGTGTCGTCAGTATTGTTTATCTTATTTTTT